TCTTTCCCTTTCCCCATCCAAAAAAGCAAATCCACCCTCTCTTTCGTGTCCTAGCATACTTTTTTTCCCATTGTATTTTATGGAGACGTTCTGTCCTCTTCTAGTGTCGGCTCTCAGATAGGCAGGTTTCCTTGTTCTGATAGACAGTTAGATATACACTCCAGATTGAAGTCAAAATATTTTGTAATCAAACACCTTACCAGCAAATGACCAAAGAGATGAGTTCAAATAAGGTGTTGAGTAAAATATCTTAAAGAGTTTTGAGGCAATAACTGGCAATAGAACGTCAGCATTTCTCTGGAGACAGAGTCTGTCTCAGAATCGAGAAAGACATACTGTCATCTCAAGGGGACCCATGAGAGTAAGACTCCTGTCACTGCTTCTCAGAATACACTCTAAACCAATGGCCCCTCTCAGAATCAGCCTCCACCTGAGGCAGCCCTCTAAGCCCTAGGCAAACATGAACACACTGCAGATTTTCACCATTAACAATGAAAAGCTTCATTATTATGAGCCTCAAATGAAGCATGAAATGCACCCATTCATTCAATAAATATTTATTGAGATCTACTGTGCTCCAGGCACTGTGCTAACAGCTGCTTAGAGAAAAAAAGGAAAAATTTTTTTCACCCAGCTGCAGTAATTCAATGTGATTGGTGTCTGGCTTAACTAAATTCTTAAGAAGTGTAGTTTTTTTCTCTTTTTCAAATCATGCCAAATCTCAAAATTAAAAGTTCTAAAAACCTCAATTAATAAGTTTTTTTAAATGGAGAGCTCTTTCTTGGAGAGTTAAAGAGACCTTTTGTTTTCAGTTATTACAGATTACTTATTTCTTTGCTTTAAAGATAAAAAAAGAGCCATTTTACAGAATTGTGACATTGATTTGAAAGTGTATGTAAATTTTGGGGAAAAATGTTAAATTTATCCAGTTTACTTCTCCAAATATTTTAAAACACAACAGCCTCATGTGATTTTGGAGTGGTTAAACTCTGACAGCTTTCAGAGAAGCTACTAGCTGTGAATCTAATACCCCAAATCTTCTTTACTGCTCTTTTGACAAATGTATCCATTATCAAGCCTGGCTTAAGCGAATTTGCTCCTGTTGTGTACTCAGCAGAAAGGAAAACATCCTGTGTAAAGTTTTCCTGCACGGAAAGATCCCCTATTCATTCCTCCTCCAGTCAAACACAGAAACTTTATTCAGCTTTACTCAGTAGTTCTTTAGTGTTTTGAAACACTGTCTCCAAG